GGCGGAGTGGGGGAGAAAGGGCCTGGGGCTTACGTGCACTGGGTGCCGTAGTCGAACTTGATGGGGCTGTCGACCCAGGGGTAGCTTGCGAGGGCTGCTTCCTCTTCGGCGCTGCCCGGCGGTGGGAGGGGTGTTTCGTCGCGGACGATGCTGTTGGTTGGTTCCACGGTGATGAGCTGTGAGTGACGAGGTTCATGGGGGGGTGCACCATCTCAGAAACAAAGGGGCATACTCTTTCCACAACTCTACCAGCTTTCGTCGCGGAGCCCCGGCACCATCCTGTGTGTTGAAAGCATTGCAGGCTACCTTGCACCGGAGGCGGTCGGCTATAAGATCGGAAGTGAAGGCGTAGTACAGCTCACCGGCGAGCATGCGGCGACGGTTCTCGACTAAATCAACGTTGTTTGGATCCATGGTGATCGTTGATCGCCGTTTTCGATATCTCAAAATAGTCACTTGATTTGTTTGCTTGGAATGTTCCTCTGAATCTCCCTTGGCTGTGGCCTGGCGGGGGCGGGGTAGGTCGACTCCGGCAGTCCGGCTTTAGAGTTGCCGGAGCGGTCTCAACTTCCGGGGGGTCCCATACTTGGTGGGATTGCCAAGTCTCACGAAATCAGGGGTTTGGAGAAGCGAGAGCTTGAAAGTAGGTACCCTACCCTCACCAGAAGGCAAGATAAAAGGAAAGAGACTAATATAGGTTTCGCGGGAAGGATTGTTCTTGCATCCGAGTTAAGGCCCAGACCCTCGTGTTCAGCTGAGCAATTTACCTTCCTCCAGAGCAAGAAGTTGGTGTGACCGAGATGGGAAGATCTTTGCAGAAAGGAGAGTGAGGACTTTGTTTCCCGCTCCCGCTCCTGCATGGCTTCAGGTACCCTTCGGTAGCGAGCAGCCGCAGCATCGAACAAATCGAACAAAAATCCCCGTTAGGCCCGGGCCCTGGGCCATGCAGCTCGGGCTCATGTACGAATAGACTCGAGAGGTCCTCGGTAGGCGGTGCTGACAGCTTGTAGAGGCTTTGAGGCTGCAGCCAAGGCTTTTTGGCAGTCATCTCTTAGGCGCAAACGTATCTCGGATTCTCCACTGACTGGCCGCCCGAGAGACGTGAAGACGCAGCGGTGAGGTATCGCCTCTTTACCGAGACTGACAAAAGAAGCTCGCCGTTGCATGGACGCGACGCGTGCTGCAGTACCTGAACTTTCCGCTTCCAGTGAAGGATGACAACAGCCGGTGCCTTATTGGTTCGATGCTACAGGGAAGCCCATGTTGATGCGACAGCTGCACACCAACGTTTTGGATAAAAGCAAGGCGGACCGATGAAAGATCCAGGATATGTCATCCGTCAAAGCCGGGATCAGGGAGTTCAGTGGGTCATAGAATCCTACCAAGACAAGGGGCCAACCGCATCTCATGCCAATTTGCTTGTCATGTTTTCCATCTCTTGACAATGCCACCCCGCCAACGCCAGCCTGCACCCGGCGAGCCTGGCATGGCCTCGTGGTGACGCGGCTCGATCCTGGCGCTCCTAGCGAGCTGTCATCCGCGTATCCCGAGCCCTCCCCCAGTGTCAACCGACGGGATGATCTTTGCTCCACTACCGACGTGGTACTGCAGTTAAGAGGCTGTGCACCCGCCCACCCGTCCTGCCGCCCCATGGAGGAGCCATGGTTAACTGCTGAGTCCGGAATTAAACCCAGCCTGCCGTGCATGTCCGCCGGGGACGGACCAAGAAGCTGGGAGCCGGTTCCGAAAGACGTAGAGATCCAATTGACGGCGAGGAAATCTGCCCGTGGGGAAATTACACTCCGTGTGAGCCTTGGTATAAATGTTGGGCAATCAGCCCGCTTCAATGCTGCCATGACACCCACCATCACCTCTCAACTCAAGACCCGTCTACAGTCGTGTTAGCCGTTCAACCCACCATCAACATGAGAACCTCCCTGCTTCCGGCTCTTGCTGCTGTCAGCCCTGTGCTGGCGGGGTTCGACACCTGGGCGCCCCCGGGACCGTATGATGGTAAAGCCCACCAGATCATAGAGGCAAGACTACAAACGGAAAACTAACTGCTATCCGCGCATAGTGCGAGGCCCATGTCCCATGCTTAACACCCTGACCAACCACGGTTTCTTCCCTCACGATGGCCAAGACATCGACCGGGAGACCACCGAGAACGCCCTGTTCGACGCTCTCCACGTCAACAAGACCTTGGCCAGCTTCCTGTTTGATTTTGCCCTGACCACCAACCCGATCGCCAACTCGACCACCTTCTCCCTAAACGATCTCGGAAACCACAACGTTCTCGAGCACGACGCCAGTCTTAGGTATGGCAATTGATAATGTATTCTGGAGCCATTTCTAACCACGTGCAGCCGCGCGGATGCCTACCACGGAAGCGTCCTCGCCTTCAACCACACCATCTTCGAGGAGACCAAGTCCTACTGGACCGATGAGACCGTCACCCTCAAGATGGCCGCCGATGCGAGATATTATCGCATCAAGTCTTCGCAAGCCACCAACCCGACCTACCAAATGTCGGAACTCGGCGATGCCTTCACCTACGGCGAGTCGGCTGCCTATGTTGTGCTCTTCGGCGACAAGGAGTCCCAGACTGTCCCCAGGAGCTGGGTTGAATGGCTCTTTGGTGAGTCCCCCTTTTTTTCTGCCGCAACACCAACCAAAACTGTTTATCAGCGCTCGATAAAATGAATTGAAGCTAACGGTTCGCGTGTTTTACAGAGAAGGAGCAACTCCCTCAGCACCTTGGGTGGAAGCGTCCGGCCACGTCGTTTGAGTTGAACGATCTGGACAAGTTCATGGCCCTGATCCAAAACTACACCCAGGAGATCGAGGAACCTTCCTGCGAGTCTCGGAAGCAGCGCCGCAAGCCCCGCGGCCCTTCTCACTTTGGCTTCTAATCAGCGAGACAACGGATGCGTGGGGAGAAGGTGTCCGCCGGGCCACCAGTTTCAAGCCTTGGCCGAGCGTTCAAATCAGACGAGGCAGAGCACCTATAAAATAGCATTTCGAAAATCGGTAGATCTTAGTTACATAACGACTGCAGCTCGAAACAATCTAAGAATATCTATCATACAGCCGGAGATCACGGTTGGTGCCTTATTATCTCGCAAGTGAATATCAGTGCAATGCACCCCACCAGATACCACTCTTCGCCGCATAAAGACGTCAATAGTTGTGCCTATGCCTAAATTGGTATTCTGGGATTGTACGCAAACACGTCGTCAGTCTCAAGCAATCACACTCGCATGGAGGCTACTGGAAGCACCCGCGCTCACGCAAGACACGACAGTCTACAATACCACACAACCGCAGTGCAGCCCTCTACCGTCGCACGACCTTTCCCGAAGCGGGAGCCACGCGTTCACCGCTGTGCCACGAGCAACAAGCGCGCAGGGTTAAGACGCGCTGTGCTCGGCTTCCCAGAGGTACCCTCCTCCTTAATTGCACAACGGTCAGTCACTGGACTTGCTGTTGAGGTGGTGGTAGTCGGGTATATGAGCATACCGTTCCGATAGGTCTCCTAACGGGTGCCGTTATCCGTTTTGAGATCTGCGATAGTTGCCTAAGCGATGTCGTCTTTCATACATTCCTATTCTCGCCTCGCAATTTGTGGTGGCTGTCCAAACCTACAGCCCCGGTCCCATCGCCCACACCACCCCCACCACTCCATGGACGGAGTCTGCCAACTGGTCTAAGTCAGATCATTACGAATCCACCAAGTGACGCCCAAATGCCAGATACCCCCGAACCCACCGCCTCACCGCTCATCAAATAAAGCCATCCGCAACGCACCCGGCACCTCCAGTGCCCCAGTCTCCTCCCAACCGCTCACCGACGACTGTACCCGGCACCCAAAAAGGAACCCCACGCCCATCGCAAAGGGAGGTACGTACGCAACGCTCCGTTGGAGACGGGCCCTCACGACCGGAGTAATAACCCCAAACCCCCCGCCTCCGGCGGCCATGCGTGCCAGGGAGTCGTCCCGTCGACCCGCGTCCCCGCCACGCAACCGGGATTGTCCAGGTTCCATCGATAAAGGCTCCATGCTCATCTCAACGGGAAGCTTCCGCCCACAAGGGCACCGCCGGACATCTTGTTTGCCTTGCCGGCTACTACCTTCTTCGGCCGGCTCCGCCCCATACGTCTCGGTTGCAGTTAAGGGTCTGCAGGCTGTTCGGTGCGATGCAAGCGCCATGGCAGGCTTTCTGGGTGGGGGAGATGGAGGCGAAGGCGAGTGGACTTTTGAGCTTTTTGATGTCGCACAAGGGCTCGTCTTCCGAGTCCCAGAGTTGGCGTCAAGGGCTGCTTGATAGCCCCGTGCGGTTGGATCGTTGGGAGCATCGGCGGCAGTGGTTGTTGGTCCCCTGTCGAGGACGGGATCTGGAAGAACGTAGGATTTTACGGGGGGATCGGGGTATTAACCCGTCTCCGGGCGACATGATCTTGCTCTTTTGCTTCCACATTTAAATTGGATGCACAGCCATTTGAGTCCAATGTGTCGGCATCTCGAACTTGACTCCGAACAGGAGCCACATTCCACCCTCTTGGGCTCGTGGGTACGCCTGAATTGGCAAAGCAAGAGTATCCACTTGCCGGGGACCGAGTATATCAGGCCTGTTATCCGTGGTGGATCAGTGGATTCATTGTAGGCAAGGTACCTCAGCTGCTGTTGGTTGCTTTCCCTTCGCTGAGAGTTGATTAAGAACCATGAAAAGAGAAACAGAAGTGAGAAGTATAAGTAAAATGGAAGAGAAGGGAAAAAGAAAGGCCTACCCCATCTAATATCAAAAGTCTGTATGTAGAAATATAGAAATATAGAAATAGAAATATTGTAATGTCCGCCTTTAATGTCAGCCTTGAGTGAAGCAAGGAAAGAAGCCTCGGAGGAACAGGGGTAGGGAAAATAAAAGGAGACAAAGATCTTACCGAGTGTACGCCGGAATAGCTCAGTGGTAGAGCGTGTCACTCGTATGTTTGTCTACATGACAATATTCAACGACATGACAAGGTCCACGGTTCGATCCCGTGTTTCGGCATCCTTTTCTTTTTTCCTTTTTCTTTTCATGAATACAGTATAGTATCTACGCGGCTGCAAGGCTAGCCCAGGGTTCTAACTTAGTTGCGGTCTTGACCGTGGTGGGAACAGCGCAAAGTTGTGTTTGGAGAAATTGTCATCTATCGCAAACCCACCCTACCTACCGAGTGAAACGTTTAGTTTCGTGCTTTCCTCGCCGCACCGTTAGGGTTGTGTCAGACGGGATGGTCACCTGCAACGCTCGCCTGATGCTTTGCTGGATGAGGTCTGATTCACGTCCGCTGGTCTCTTTATTGATCTATTCGCGATCCGTGCCTAGTAGCCCGGATACAACTTGAAGCTCCAAGTTGACCTACTAACAGCCCAAGAACCATGGGGTGTACTGTGAGAAAGGAACGGAGTAAGAGGTAAAAGGCATGAGATGATCTCACTTGACGCCAGAAATTCTGGCGTATCCGAATCTTGCTTCGAAGAGCGTGATAATGATATAGGCAGAAATAGGAGGTTATAGTAATTTTCAACGCATTCTATATTCAAGGGCCACAAGAAAGCTTTTCCAACTCTCTACAACTATCCACACCTAATGGTCCCCCCTTCCCCCGCCGTGGAATTGATCGATTACACTTGTAGCATCGAAAGCAGACTCCGGTTAATCTATCGCCAAAGCATACAAGCTTTATTCAGTCATATCTCAGTGGCATATCACCGCACATTCCGTGGCAACTCCATTTGTTGGCTGCCACCCGTTCACAGTTTCTAGTCATTTGGACTCTACTACCCATACACCGCTACTAATCTGTTCGATGCAGCCCCACGCCAAAATACAGGTCCGACTGGTAATCCAAAATGCTAACTAACTCTGAGATGCAACGTTTGGTCTAGATGTGGATTTCCTGTGGGGCTCGTCGCGGTTTCTGCTCTCCCAGGACCTATGTATTGGGATGCTGTTGAGAGGTCTTGTCAAATTCCACGTGGCTGTGACGTCTGCTGCCGTGGGCACCCAGAACCGTTCCAACCCCTCCTGGGCTTGGACCTGACTGCTTTTGAACCGATAGCACCAGCTTCGGCGTATGTTGAGGTGCGCCTTGCAGCTGAACTTTGTCCCGTGGCCACATGTGCATAGTGAAGGCGTCTCCTGGTTGTATGACATGCTCCCAAACCGATGGAAGTATTATGTCACCGGATGGCCCTATGATGTCGTAACGGCCGTCTTGAACCTGTGGTCCGATATCTTCAACGTGAAGAAAGGCTTCCTTGATGAGCTTCTCGGTGCCCTGTGTAGGTAGGTAACGTTAGCAGGCGCGGTCAAAGTTGTCGTATACTAGGTGTATTGTCGCTCACAGCCCATGTTTGTACCAGATGGTACGGAAAGCTGAACCTCCTTCCAACAGCATCCTTGAACTTAATGGTTGGCACTTCGGTGCCCTTGGAGCCGCTGGGTCGCTTCTCACCGACCCCTGCAACTTCATCCTCGGTCAAGGTAGTCCACTCCGCAAGGAGTTCCTCCACCACCGAAGAAACTCCATAATTCCCGCTAACTGCATACCCTCTGGAGGGTTGCCGGCCAGCAGTGCTCGTTCCTCATTCGGGAAGCCATCTATCTGGACGACTCCTTCAGCCTCCGCCTCATCGTCGGAGGATTTAGCCGTTGTAGGAAGCCCGGAACGTGACTCAACATAAGATAAAAAGACAAGTTCGTACAGCCAATGTGTTGTGTTATCCCTCTCCGAGGCCTCCTTCCAAAGCTGAAGCTGGGTGGACTGAGTTTTGTCAGGGTCTTCGAACACTTCGTCCGTCTGGTCTGTTTCAAAACTTTCCACATGGTTGCCCGCTCCGTCCATGACATCTCGAAGAGACTGGTATGACACTTGGAATAGGTTCTCGGCCTGTTGGCGCAGTAAATCCTTCTCTGCTTCTTGGTCTTGATCGTCGCCATCGAACGGTGTGCCTGAAGGGCTGGGGAAGCGCCTTTCTGATATCAGTATGTGGATAGAATCAGGAAAACGAGCTCTTAGATCTCCCGATTAGGCTTACCCGGCCAGCATTCTTGTCTGAGCAGCCAGAGTCATGATGTAGAGGATCATGTTGATCCCGTTTTGAGGCTCTCGATCTGGTAGAGCAAATGCGTTGTCTTGGACCGCCGAAACAACCACTTCAGAGAGGCAAATCGATTGACTTCTGAAATCATGTCGCGTATTTGTGCGTGGATCTGGTCGATTCTCCGTATCGCGGAACGGACGCGGCGTAGGAGCTTGCGTCTGTACAGCTTACTACCTTTAAGGGCTCTGCGAAGCGCACCAAGAACCATGGACAAGTCGGATACTCCGCGGGCAGTGTCTGATATTTCTTTTGGGGTACCGCGGATTGTCAAAACCAGGTCGTAGATGGCTTTTGAAACTTGGATACCTGCAGTAGCGACGCCGGCGATACCCGCGAGGAGAGATAAGGGATCCATCCTACACCTGGTTGCTAGGGGAAGTGCCAGTGATGTGACGTTGGGGATTGGGGCTTCTGGAATATTTTGCTTGATGCGGGCAGAGCCATAAGGTGTGCAGGTCAAATCCTTGGTTACCTACTTCTAAAATTGTTGCATGCGAGATTGTATATACCTCGCAGGAAAACCACACTAGCCTGCGGCTATGTACCTGAGTTTTGTGGCTGTGTCCTCCAAAACAACCAATGTGCATGCGAGATCTCCAGCGGTGAAGCTGTGCCTCATTGCCATCCTCTCCTTGGGCACTGGGAACGAATCTGACTTGTCCGCCCATTGTTGGGTAATGAAAAGCCCCCGGGTCGCATCAAGACATGGCCAGGCCGCATCAGGGGCTGACTGACACCTGCCGGTATTAATGGCTGGTCGAGTCAACAAATTAGGCATAGTCGTTTACCCACTGCAGCTCCAATAACCAGGGCCCCGGTACATGATGGGCGGGCACCTGATAAATGTCACAGCTCGGCGCCCCTTTCGCTCCCCGCTCGCGATGAACAAAACATGAATTTCGCCATCCGCCTCTCACCCAAAGCTTTGTGACCTCGCCATGGCGCGGATAGTTCTTACTTTTGTTTGCTTGCTCTGGGCCTTGGTCCCAATTTCATTTGCCACAGAGGGAGAGGGAGAGGACAAAGGAAAAGGAAAGGGAGGTGGCGGGCCGGTCACCACCATCCACAGAGATGTCGCCATTGTCGGTGGAGGCGCTGCTGGCTCCTATTCTGCCGTGAGATTGCGAGAGGACTTTGGAGTGAGCGTTGTTGTAATCGAGAAGGACAACAAATTGGTAGGTTAAATTGCCCAGCCTTGTTTATGTTGACCACCTCAATTTCGAAAGCGCTGACGGTTGTGCCCTTTTGTTACAGGGGGGGCACGTCAATACTTGGGTTGATCCGGCCACGGGGAGGGGTTTCGATGCGGGTGTCCAAAACTGGATCGAGATCAATAATGCCTCATCCTTCTTTGAACGTTTCGGCGTAGCAGTGCAGCCCAATGTCCGCTCGGTGCTGGATCAGCACTTCATCGACTTCGCAACCGGCGCTCGACTGACCAACTACACCCCCCCTCCGACGGCCGACCGCTCTGCGGCTCTGAAAAGGTATCTTGCAGCAGCCGAACGGTTCCTTCCCATTCTTGAACCCGGATGGTGGAACTTCCCCCAGCCCAGCGAGATTCCAAGTGATTTGCTTTTGCCCTTTCGCGACTTCGCGGCCAAGTACAACCTAACAGCCGCCCTCCCCCAAATCTTTGCTACTACTGGATTCGGAAAGCATAACTTTATGGATTCCTTGACCCTCTTCTTTATGCGCAGCTTCGACGTCAGCATGGCGAGGACGTTGCTGGGACTCGAGGCCAACTTTGTTCCTGTTTCTCGTAGGAACCAGGACCTTTACGACGCCATATTGACCTTTCTCGGTCCGGATGCGCTCACCAGAAGTACTGTCACGGATGCAAAGAGATGGGATGGCAAGCGAGGTGTTACCCTGGAGGTTTACAATTGGGCAACCGGTGCCACCACGCGGGTGATTGCCAAAAAACTTCTCTTCACCGTTGCTCCCACAGAGGAGAACCTGGAGCCATTCAACCCAAACGGCGACGAAAAGGAGGCCTTCAGCGGCTTATATTACAGCAGCAGCGTTGTGGGCATCGTTTCCCACCCGTCTCTCCCGCTCCAAGCGTCCCTCGTCAACACACCAGAGGCGGCGCAGCCGGCCAACTGGGCTGCCGCTGCTCCTTCGTCTCCCTTCAATACACGGTTCGAGAACTACCCCAACTCGACCTACTATCGCGTCATTGCGGTTGGAGATCAAAAATTCAATAAAGAACAAGCAAGAGATGTCATTCAAAGCGCCTTTGATAGAATGGTCGCGGCAGGAACTCTACAACAGACAACACCACTCCAGAACTTAACATTTCACCTTCTTGAGCCGCACGGGCCGGTGAGCGCATCTGCATCAAGGCTGGCGGTTGACACTGGCATTATTCAGAAGCTCAACGGGTTGCAGGGGAAGCGGTCAATATGGTACACGGGTGCCGCATGGAGTGTGCATCTGACAACCAGCCTGTGGAGGTTCACTGATACGGTATTGCCGAAGGTGGTAGCAAGTTTGTAATGTGAGAATCATCCCAGCGACAGTACTAGAACCGCATCGCGATTTCCCTTGGCTGGTCGAATGACAACTGCTTTGTGGTGCGCGGGTACGGTCCCTGGGTCGCATTGAGGCCATGGTGTGAGTGGGCTGGTGAGTGGATTGGTGGCCGGGGTTGAAGAGAAGACCTCTCCAGCAGCCGCTCGCCACAAGGCTTAGGCTGCAGGATAGGTAGGGGCGGGGAATCGAATACCCCGCAGCTAGACTGATTTATTGGCTGGAACTGGGAGGGTGTTTTCAGCGCGCCGCTTGAAAGCTTGTCTGGGTGTCTCTCCCCCGTGCCGCCAACTCCAGAAATCTGCATCTCATAACCAGCCCAAGAGCGGATATATTATTATTATTCATACTCCGCTATGCCCTAGGGCGTGCCGGACCCTCAGCTATTTAGTGTACAGGAAAACCGTGCCCTCCCGGGCCGGGTGAAAAACCCATACCAACAATCAAGGAACGATGCGTTCTGGTGAGTCTGCGTATACAAAGAGAGGAGGCCTCCTGGCCTCCGAACGGGGGCGCTTCAGGCCGCCGCTTCCAGCTCGAGCCTCCTGGCTAAGTTGTACATCGGCACCTTCCCCGAGCCCATCAGCCAGTCGAGGACTCTCCTCGCGAGCCGTGCAGTCGTGGGATTGATGCCGTGTAGAACAGAGTAAAAGTCCCGTCGTGTCCGAATTCCAGTTCTCTCCCATCTTCGAGTCAACGGTGGGGCCAAACACCACACTACCAGGTGTTCGGCAGTCTCTCGTCCCTCGCCACACTCGCAGGCAGGAGTCAGAACCTCCGGGACTCCCCGTGTAAACAAGAAGCCCCGTAAGCCTATTGCTCCCGTCTGGATTTGAATCAGCAGTGAGCTCTTTGCCTTGCTGAGACCGTCGTGCCTCCTTAGGGTTTCGTTCCGGAATAGCGTCTCCTGCTGATGGTCAAAGTCGTCCGCCGGCCTGGTGATTGCCCTGCCGTCCTGTTCCTTTAACCACCTCGCTTTCCAAGCTTCTTCTACTACCCTGTTCGTATCAACGGTTCCCCCCGTCCAGCGCATGACCGTGTCCGCGGCTCTCTCCACCGCCGTAGGCCCTTGAGGTCCTAAGGTTCGTGGTCGGCCCCTGTTGCCCCTCCTCGAGCTAAGTCTCTGCTGTATCTTGCGGCAGGCGGTGAGGACAACGCTCGCCGCCGTCTTCTTGCCACCTCGACCGTCGTCCAGATCGGGTCGTTGGAGTCGGTTTTCGAAATCTGCAAGCCGTTTGTTTAGGTACAAGTCCAATGGTGGTACCCATGTCTCTGTCTCGAGGTTACGGATGGGAACTTACATAAATACTGAGATTGGGATCTGTGTATACAGGAGATCGGGTACGGACCGGTGAAGGAGATACCGAGGATACCCGATAGGTTCCTGCATGGTCACTCAAACCTGGTATGGAGATCAAGCTTATCTCCGCCCCGTGTTTGCTATGAAGGTGCTTGGCTTGAAGCCATTTCTGTGGCCTTGACACCTAGGGACCTACCTACCACAACATCAGTGCATGCCAGGTTTCTATCCCAGTTACTGATTCCAATGCACTCTTCAGTGTCATTGTGTCTCGGCGTGTATATTTTAACAAAGCAGAGAAACAAGCCGCGCTATCGATTGTAATGGTCTCAACGACCCTCCTCGTTTTCACCGTTCTCCCCGATCTCCTCATCTGCGTCCTGGTCGGTACCCTGTTCCCCTATCTCATCCTTCCTCATCTTTGCTTCAGCGCCTTTGTCCTAAATGTACCAGTCCTCATCGGGCTCAAAAGCCTCAATACTGCTGCTCTGACAAAGCGCAAGGCTTTCTAGGAAAGCGGGGTCGTACTTGTCCTCTTGGATAACCGCGTCCACGTCAGCGCCCATATCGATCAAATGTTTGATAGCTAACCGCTGTTTGTTCAACAGAGACCCGTCCCTTTGCTCTCTCGCTATGGGTGCCAAAGCAGAGACGTAATCTCCTGTGCGGATGTGACCAACCTACTTCAGGACCCTGTCCTGTTAGGGTTCAGCTTCGGTTGAAGGTAATCTCTCGAGGGTGCTTAGGTTCGGTGCAGCCAAAGGGTGCACAACAAAGGCTTGTCTCAACCGTAAGCTTCCGAGCTTGTAGCGAACTGTAGTTGTGATTGCTAACTGGAGAACTCCCAGAGCTCTCCAGAACGAGTGACTATATACTTCCTAATTCCTGGGTGCTCAGTCTGCTCAATCACTGAGCACACTGAGCACATTGCTCTCCTTGCTCAGTCGCTGAGCATACTGAGCAGCCGCTGATTGGCTGTACTAACGATTGGTCTGGGTCGTCCTGTGCCCCACTCTTGTGCATTCAGCATGGTGGTTTGTGACAGCGGAGCGGGAGGTTCACATCCGCTCCTTGGTCGATCAGCAGCTTAACTACAGCTGCATCCGAACGGTGAGCAGCAGCTACCAGGGCGGAGCCGTATCCTCCAACCGTAGGTTGTGCGTTCACTCGAGCTCCTTGTTTTAGAAGGTACTCCAAAATGTCAAGTGCGTCATCCCTTTCAGGTGAAAACATACTATCCGTAACCGCGGCGATGAGGGCGGTGCCGTATCTCCCCGTTTTCAGCTCCAGGTTGACGTCAGCGCCGTTCTCGACCAACAGCACCACCATCTCTAGCCTGGGTTCAAGGCTGGCCGGCGGTCTTTTTATGGCCGACACAAGCGCAGAACCGTCAGGACCTGTCTTAAGTACCTAACATGTCCACGATGGCGCCGTTGTCGATTAGATGTTTCATGATGCGTAACACGCGGTCCACTCCGTCAGGAAATCCCCGCATGGCTGCTGATAAGGCAGACCCATATCTGCTCCCGGCTTGTAGGTTCACATCGGCTCCGCACGCCACAAGCAGCTCGACCATTTCCACAGATCCATACTGCGCGGCGGCATTGAGGGCAGACCCAGCTTCGTTTTCAGCCGGCAGGTTCACATCGGCTCCGCGGGCCACAAGCAACTCGACCACCTCAAAGCATCCACTGCATGCCGCGGCAAAGAGGGTAGACTCATTGTATCTTCCGGCCCGTAGGTTCATATCGGCTCCGCGGGCCACAAGCAACTCAACCACCTCCACAGATCCACAGCGTGCCGCGGCAATGAGGGCATATCCATATTCGCCTCCAGGCTGTAGGTTCAGATCCGCTCCGCGGGCCAGAAGCAACTCGACCATTTCCACAGATCTCTCGTACGCCGCGACAATGAGGGCAGACCCAAACCCTCCATAAATGCTTCTTTCTTCGAGGGGCATGTCGATAACGGCACCTTGATCGATGAGAAACTCGACCGTTCCGGGATCTCCTTGCACGACTGCCTCAGCCAGGGCACTCCCAACTGTGCCGGCTCGGGTATTGATGTCAGCACCCCGGTCGATCAGCAGTTTCGTAATTGAAAGATCCCCCCCAGCATGCGGCAATCAGAGGAGTGGCATAGTTTCCGCAGGTCACGATCATATTGACGTCAGCGCCGTGATCAATCAAATCCCGCAAAATGCTTTCGCGGCCCCCCCAGCAGGCCGCTATCAGGGGCGAGCCATGGCGACAGAAACCGGAATTTTCCTCATTGACATTGGCGCCCCTTTCGATCAATAGCCTCACCATCTCCTCTTTTGCTCGCCATGCAGTTTCCGATAGCGTGAATCCGCGATTTTTGCTTTGCCTTGTCCGCGATTGTCGGTCTGTCTCGCCAGCAGACCGGTGCCACCCTCGAAGTGAGCTGTCACATGCAGCCATGAGCATCTTGTCCAACGCACTCTGTCCGTCTCCTGGAAGGAGATCCGGATCGAAAAGCAGGGCCTTGAATAGAGACACAAAACCTTGATAGGCAGCAAAGGCCATCAAGCTAGAATGTGCGCTGGGTGCCGACCATATCGATATATTCTCGTATACGCGGGTGTATAAGCCGCGGTAATGGCCTGCTTCTTCCGGGAAGGGTACCAGTGCCATGCCTCGAACGCCTGGGCTGCACGTTGCAAGTGATAATGATTCCTACTCCCAGCATTAATTTGAAATAACTTGTCGGCATGTCCAATCCAACAGGGCGAATAAAAGAGCAACGCGTACGGTCCTAGAGCCTCGGTCCACATCCTGACTTTAGAGTTCGTGTCGTAGTAGTGTCCTGGAATTTCTGCAGCCGCCAGCGCCAGCATTCTTGGCTGTTAAAGATAGTGAAGGCAACAACTGAACATCAGCTCATGACCGCTCGCCTCGAGGCTGGGCGATTTAAGCTCCTTGAGCTCCGCGGGAAGTTTGTTGCCTCGAAGGAAATCTTTGACGGACTGGTGCATAAACTGCACTTCAGTGGTGAGATGAATCCCAATTCTGAACTCCCGATCAGTCTCAGCGACCTCAACAAGTCCGCGGCACAGATTCAGAACCCGAATCTTCATCTGTTCACGGGTTCTGACCAAGCCCTGGGCACCAGGTTTTGAACCCAAGGGGGTTACGACAGATGCAACTCCCATAATCTCCATCAGCTCCTCGATCGAAAGAGGCCTTGCCGCAACCAAAACGATCTGTAGCATGCGCATGGCCTCTGGGCGATCATCCTCCTTGACTTTCTGCAGACAACTGAGGAATAGCTCCCAGAGGTCGGCGGGCGTGGCGGAGAGTATATCGAAAATGGTGCCTGCTGGTTCATAGTCGTTCATTGCGGCCAACAGCTCCTTGACGACCAGCTTGACCCACAGGAAGACGCCCTGCGCCTTGAACAATATGTCTTCCGCTATACTCGGCACCATGAGCTCGTAACCCATGCCCGGACAGCTCTCCGCAGTCTTGCTAAGCTCGGTCGAAACGTAGGCCCTGATGTCCGCAAAATTGCACTTTCCCAGGTCGATTGTCGTCCATTTGGCTCTGTGGTTGATGAAATTGTTGGGCCTGCTTGACAGACAGATCCTCAGGCTTCCGTCTTGGGATCCCAACAGTTGTGACTCCAAGAATTCAAACATTGACGATGGAAGGAAGCCCTCGCCCTCGTCAAGAGCGTCGATGTAGATAAGCCCAGTCAGTCCCGGCGATCGCACGGTGACTTCAAACATCTGCATCAACGTCTCCCTCGTCCACTCCACCACCCGAACCCGAGTATTTATCATCACTTTCATGTCGAAGTAGAACGGTTTGAGGCGCCGGTAGAGGATGGGGTCTTGCCGGAGTAGCTGATGAAGGAGGGTGCGAAGCATGGCTTCTACGGATTTCTCCATGGCGGCGCCTCTGGCGTTGAAGAAGAAGCCACACACGACATGGTGTGGGTCTGTATTCTTTCTGGATTCCTCCCTTTGAATGAGCTGTTTCATCAAAGTGGATTTTCCGCAACCTGCCTTACCCTTTATCAAGAGTTTTCCGTTGCCACAGGACTTCCATTCTCGATACTCTTTCGACGACTGAACCCAGTCGTAGGTAGCTTTGTACGCGATTTCGACTCTGTTCTCGCCTGCTTGCATCTCTGGATATGAGAGCATCCTGGGGATATCTATGAGAAATGTCAGTAACTACCGAAGAAGGAGAAAGCTACCAAGTGTCTCACCAAGCCGTTGTTCCTCTTCATCTCCGTGCAGTTCCTCCTCATCTTCGCTCAGTTCCTCCTCGTCTTCGTTCAGTTTCTCTTCATCCTCGTTCAATTTCTGTTCACGGCTGACCGAGTGGGGGCTCGAGTGGCTTTGGACTGGTCCTGTTTTGTTAGTGAAGGGTCTAAATACATGCATACCTACCTAGGTATGCTCCTCACCAGCGCATGTTTCGGCGCCTCCACGCGCGGAAAGAATAGCCTTTACACAGTCGGTCATAGCCATTTTTGTAGCGGACATGTTCAGGTAGTTGTGGGTGTGTCCGGCCGCAAGTCGCATTTGCTTCCAGTCATCCACGGCGATATCGCCAATCGCCACGTCTTCGTCAAAGCTCCAATACTTTTGCGAAGCTTGACCTCCATACTTCTCTTGAAGGCGGGCGTGGACCAGATTTGAGCTCCTTGCCATGCTCTCAAAGGCACCGACAAGAGTTTGGGGTTTTGCCGCGATGCCTATAGCCCGCCCTAAACCTGTGCCAATGCTCACAACGCACGCCGCCTCTCGATCCGGTATTGATTTGTCTGCTTCGGCGATGACCTCCTCACAGGGGTTGTTGTACCGAAACCCAGCATCGATGAACTCGATCTGGTCCCGGCCGCATGTGACCGGTGGAAAGAAAGTCTGGGTGGCTGACGTAGCTCTGGCTACTTTCCATATCTTGCAGTCCTTCCATGCTGGCTCGGCTTCGTAGGTTTTGAAGAGCGTGGGTCCGGCGCCGATGTTGGCCTTTGTCATGGCTAGAACCACGGTCCGAGGGCCAGTGAGATCCACGAATACAGCGTCCTTGCCGCCACCGACCGGACGATCGGTATTTTCCAGTGCCTGACACACTGCTTCGGCAAGGTTCGTGCCCGAATACTTGGAAGTCGAGACGAATTTCGAAGGAGACCGCTCCTCGGCGTGAATGACAGTTCGGAAATCTTGTTATACCGTAAGCGCTGCTTCCACAGACATCCTCAGTCTCCCAAGGAGGATGGCAATGATCCTGGAACATCTGTCAGCTTTGTTGATACATGCAAAAGGAGGATTCAGCGTCAAAGTACCCCCCAGTTCCGGTCCCGCCAGTGATATCAAAATACTCGCATGGAGAAGGGGCCGACGGCAATCCAAGAGACTTTTGAATCTCGCCCATCAGCTTCTCCAGGATCATGAGAGACGAATAACCTCGGATTCCGCCACCATCTTGTGAGGGTTTGTAAGCATGCTTGAAAGTATTTCTTTTCTTAAAATGCTGGCTAGACGTACCCAAGGAAAGTATAGACTTTTTCGCAGAACTCGAACCTCGTGGTCCGTAATCTGAATCCCGGGCAATGTCCTCTCCCTGTCTCGATGAGGCCTGGCCTGCTTCTCGTGGGGCTCCCGGACCACCAACTTGGTCTCACGTTAGCCGATGATGATCACCTTCTAGTCCTTTAAGTAAATAGCTTACCGACTTCGGGATCTTCCAGCTCATACAAGACTCTCTCCGCCATGGTGAGAAGTATTTCCCGAGCATACGCGGCGGCCACGGCTGCCGCATATCCCTGCCACTCTTTGCTTTTATGCGAATCGGAGTAGTCAGAAATTCCTCGAATGACGAGACAGGGGAAGACGTCAATGAGACCAGCCGCCTCCATCTCAAAGCAAACGGAATTGTAGTGTTTGGCGCTGATTTTATCCCTCATCAACCCAGACATCATGACAAGATCTCCGGACAGGATGGTGCTATAATGAATTCGAACCTCGTGAGGACGGTCGCGATCTGGCCGTTCCACTTCTTGAAGATGATCATGCGAGCTGCAGACAGTCTCTTTTGGATGATAGTATTCGGCTCGAAAGAGTCGGTCCGGGGTGGAAGGGCGCGTGTAAAGGTCCCTGATTCTTGGGAATTCGGCAAAGCGTCGCAGGTGATTAGCAAAGAAGTCCTCGGTCCCTTCTGAAGCTCTTTGGTATCGGTCTTGTACTTTGTCAACAACCTTCAACAGCAAATCGGGGGGCTTGTTGAGCGTCCGGGCGATCTCAGTCCCCTCGGGGAGCTGGTTTCCCAGATCGTACTGCACCACGGCTGGCCCGCTTTCCGGTGCCCCAACCACAACATCCCCGAGCCGTACGTCGTGGCCAGGAAGGCGTGAGACGCCTCTTCCAATCCCTCCCAGCAAGCCAACTCGTATGTTCTTGAACGCCAGGCATATTCTGCTAACAATATTTGCGATGGCCACCTTCCCCTTTGCTCCTCTGGGCGGTCCCACGATTGCAACATTGTGGTAGCCAATCTTCCCCAGCGTGTATTCATTGTCGTCCCCAAAGCGCATTGGAACCGCTTCATGGTGCTCATCTAGCATGGCGGTTATCGCGTGCATTTTGAGCGGCTTGACGTAGATGAACCCGACGGTGTAGGCATCAGCCGTGAGCCGAATCTTGGTCGTCATGGTGGATGGTGGAAGCAGTGAAAGTCGATGAGTCTCTTGATTGTGTGCGAGCCTTCGAATAGCTCCCTGGTCCTTTTCATTTAGAGCTAGGATGTCGTGGCGAAAGAGAAACTCACCCAAGGCCAAGGGATCTACTTTCGCCTTCAGATACCTAGGTAGGGACCTACGGTATCAGTTTCTTCTACAGCCTCGCTGGCTTGCCGTTAGCGGTCTAGGTAGAGAGAAGAGTTCGGCGACCTTTGGTCAACTCAAGCCCATGGTTATATCCGCTCTTGGAAGGCCCAGAACAAGTGCTTGCGGATTGTGGCGGGAGCCTTTAAGTCTACCCTCATCCGTAACCTCGAGACAGAGACATGGGCACCACCATTGGATTTGTAATCACCTAAACAAACGGCTTGCAGATTTCGAAAACCGACTCCAACGACCCGATCTGGACGACGGTCAAGGCGGCAAGAAGACGGCGGCGAGCGTTGTCCTCACCGCCTGCCGCAAGATTCAGCAGAGACTCAGCTCGAGGAGGGGCAACAGGGGCCGACCACGAACCTTAGGACCTCAAGGGCCTACGGCGGTGGAGAGAGCCGCGGACACGGTCATGCGCTGGACGGGGGGAACCGTTGATACGAACAGGGTAGTAGAAGAAGCTTGGAAAGCGAGGTGGTTAAAGGAACAGGACGGCAGGGCAATCACCAGGCCGGCGGACGACTTTGACCATCAGCAGGAGACGCTATTCCGGAACGAAACCCTAAGGAGGCACGACGGTCTCAGCAAGGCAAAGAGCTCACTGCTGATTCAAATCCAGACGGGAGCAATAGGCTTACGGGGCTTCTTGTTTACACGGGGAGTCCCGGAGGTTCTGACTCCTGCCTGCGAGTGTGGCGAGGGACGAGAGACTGCCGAACACCTGGTAGTGTGGTGTTTGGCCCCACCGTTGACTCGAAGATGGGAGAGAACTGGAATTCGGACACGACGGGACTTTTACTCTGTTCTACACGGCATCAATCCCACGACTGCACGGCTCGCGAGGAGAGTCCTCGACTGGCTGATGGGCTCGGGGAAGGTGCCGATGTACAACTTAGCCAGGAGGCTCGAGCTGGAAGCGGCGGCCTGAAGCGCCCCCGTTCGGAGGCCAGGAGGCCTCCTCTCTTTGTATACGCAGACTCACCAGAACGCATCGTTCCTTGATTGTTGGTATGGGTTTTTCACCCGGCCCGGGAGGGCACGGTTTTCCTGTACACTAAATAGCTGAGGGTCCGGCACGCCCTAGGGCATAGCGGAGTATGAATAATAATAATAATATTTATGTAAGTTCGACGTCAACCCAACAAGGTACGTCGCGAGCCGACTTCCCTGTTGGGTGGGTGCTTGGAATTCTCGTATTCCGACCAACTCCACCGAGAGTGGCACCTCCGCCGAGAAAGGGGCCCGCTGTTCATCTCTACCGGCCCCATTGTTGACATCAGAGCATAAACGCACCGATCGATGCAATTACCTGGTTTAGGCTATGTGATCTGCTCATCACTATGTAAACGATCTCTCGAGAAATGTATAAAGTTTGTCGCCATCATCCGTTGAAGGTCGTCTTTCTTTCTCAACCTTCTCAGCACTCATCTTCTCTCACACAAACACACACTCGCTCCCTACCCAAGTACTTTACCAACATATCTAACTACCCGAACTCCCCAAACAAACATCAACATGCGTTTCACCTTCGCCGCTACCGCCATTCTGTTCGGCGCCGCCCTGGCCGCCCCGGCTCCCCAAGCTGAAGCGCCCGAGATCCATGAGACGGTCAGCATCAAGGACTTCTACGCCCGCAAGTCCCACCTCGTTAACGGCACCCTCGACGGCCCCGTCGACTCGGTAACCTTCAAGATCATCGCCAGCCGCGAGGAAGGCACCATCGGCGTCACCTGTACAGCCATCGCCGCCGAGGGCGAGGACTCGATCAAGTTTAAGCCCGAAAGCTACAACTGTGACGGCGTCAAGGACACCTGGGACCAGTACCGCTTTGAGGTTGCCGAGATCTCTGAGCAAAACGTGTACACGATCATGGTCATCCACCAAACTGCCCCTGCGTAGGTTAACTTAGCTCCTTTTAGCATTTTAACACGGCTGGCTGACTTCATGTGCTCTGTAGCTTCGGCTTCTGGGGCAACGCCGATGTCCCGACTTACTGCCGTGCCGGTGGCAACAGCTCGATGATCTGCGGGCAGGTCGCCGAGGTCACCGCTGATCTCCATCTCTAGATGCAAGATTCAAGATAGAATTTCGCTCTGAGCAGCGACTACACAGTAACAATGATTAGCCTCTTTGCTTCATTCATACATACAGAAGACTACCGTGGTTTAATACCCTATCTCGGATTGTGCACCTTATTCTCTAATGACCCAGCTAGGCCGGGTTTGGTACTGTCAATCGTCAAGGCTGCCACACCTGTCAGAATATCGGGGTGGAGGCTTCGGATATGAAGAAAACGGGGCATGTTTAGCTTAACCATCACTTCTCATTTCGACGGGTAAAAACCCCAAGGGGACCCACATGTCGGAGTCTGAACGAGGACACACCGAAAAATACAACGGACGCGGAACAAGCGCGGACAACAACCATACTTGATTGCCTGATTGGACCAGTGAATCCCGTATTCTGACAACACCGCTCATATACGCACGTCATCCTTGCCCTGCGCCCCGAGCTCACATTCGTCGGCAGTCGCATCAAGTGGGAGTTCTTTCCGGGGCTTCGTTCGTCTCCGGTCTTTAGCGCTGCCGCGCGACATTATCTCCGATCCGTACATGTCCTCGATCGAGTAGGTAGGTGGATGACGGGCCGAGGATACTGTGCACGAGTGGCCGAAATGCGACGCAGCATGTAGCCACAATGCCTACCTGGAGCGAAAGGCTGCCATGGAGATAGGCTGATTAGAAGAGTCCTTCTGAAGCAAGGACGGGAAAATAGGCCGGCTCGCAATGTCCAGAAAGGAACGTTAATGTGATATGTCTCGTCTTTCTAATTGCTGCTGCCAGGTTGTCTTCACGCCCAGCTCCACGGCACTACGAATACACCTAATCGGCCCAATATCTCACATTGACGGGTTACGCGAGCCATTTACAAAGAGTTTTGCTATCCGGGCTGTGACATCTGGCCATCCGGGCTGTGTCCCACTTTCCCGGCTAATCAGACAACACGTATTTATGCGAGCATTCACGGGCAAACCAACGCTACAGCACCAGCCACCGCTTAGGTCGGGTTCGCTCAAGCGGCGCACCTTGGGCCCACCACACCAACCATCTGGTGTGGGACAAGTCCAATCTCCTATTTCCAATTAACAGCGCCCATCAGAACCAGAAATAGACGGGGGCGGACGAAAACGGAGCAGAATCACGGCGTCCACCACGTCTCTTCTTTGCCGCGGGCGGCGGAGGGCCCGATGCTACCATAATCGTATCTTGAGTACTCTGCTGAGATGCCGCCGGCAGCGCCAATTTGTCCTCGTCCTCCTCAAATTCCGACCGATTTCGACGAATGCTCTGCTTCACGGGTCTCGGCGCCGGGTTCTTGGACTTCCGAGGTGCCTTTGCCTTTGGCTGAGGGGCACTTGACGATGGGGGCTGGTTCTCCTCGCGGTAGGCGATGGGCTTATTGCGCGTGCGGCATCGTAGAGTCTTCACAATTTCGGGGTCCTTGATGTTGAGTAGCGTATTGGGGATATTCTTTTTGTCGCTGTAAGTCAGTATAAATCAGGGAAATAAGGGTGACAAGACTAACCAGCGGCTGCCGCAACCACCAGCGTGGATGAATGTGCTCCTTTGTGAGCGGCTGCTGGCCCTTCATGAGCTCGAGGATCTTATGGCTGCAAGGGAGGCGGTACTGCTTAGTGAAGCTACCGGTACAAGGCGGGAGATTGCTGTTGCTGCTGTTGCTGCTCAGCAGCGTCAGGCTCTTCGATCGGCGCCTCCATCGTGATTGGCAGCGGCGATGGCGGGTGGCGGTGGTCTTGGTCATGGTGAGGGCAAAGTGGGGCCGCGGATGGGAATGTACGATTAACGCAAAATCTCCGGCACAAAATACGTGTTATCTGATTGGCCAGAGAAGTGGGACACAACCCAGATAGCCAGATGACACAGCCCGGATAGCAAAACTCATTCGACACCCATACGACCTAGCACAGTGCCTACAACACCACGCTCAACCGGTCCACGAGGAATCACAAGCAGGAACCCATTCTCCTCACCCGTTGGCGGCCTAAACACGTTGGCAAATAAAGAAAAAAAACCCGGCACAGCCCCAGAAGCATCCGGATCATGAGGCAACCGAGCCACCGGCCACCCTTGAAGCACCGCCGAACTCGACCACAACCCACGCCGAGCCAGTGCTTACAATTTCAAGCCCAGATATGACTTCCTTCGAGCTGGCTAACTGGGCTAACCACCAACAAGATACCGATCACATCGACGACGGTTCAAACGCAGAGCAGTTGTTGGAAGATCAACTCGCTCCGGTGGACACCACTCCAACAAGAAAGAGAAAGAAGCAAACTTCTCCGGAGCCGATCCGAAGCAAAAGGTCTACAGCGGGAAAAAAGAGGGCGCGACTGTACGATTAGACGCTAGTCGGACTGGAGAAATCACACTTCCTTACTTTCCCAGCATTCGTCAAAATAACCATCATGAAATGCAAAAAACACAATTACATCGTTGACTCCGCTATGGGGCC